GCGCTTCATTGTAGTACTACGGTGATTATCTCTTCAGTGTGCAGCGCGAGCAGGACAAACAACAATGCAGAATATTAATAACTATGACTGGGACTGTCATATACATAATTATAATGAGAACACTATTATAATAAAACGCTGTGCATTTTTAGAGTTTAGTTGCTGTGTTTCTGCACGTTGTTGCGTGAAGAACGCGTCCACAAAAGGAGTTCATTCAGAGCCGCGCAGAGTTCGTGCATTCGGGGCATTTTGGCTCGTTTATGTGGGCCGTCCCAAGCATGGTTGCAATGTGTTCATTGTCAAACTCCAAAATCAGATTATTTTTAATTCTTAAAAAACGCCATTATTTTATTTGAAATAAATAATTATTTTATTTTATTGACAAAATATTTTAGTTTGTCTTGTATATTTTTTTCATTAGATCAGATAACATTTTAAGCTGTCATATGGTCATGTTACAACGTGCCCCTCAGATGTTACAATGTACCCCACCTACGGGGCATGTTGTCACATTTCACTTCCATTTTTTGAGGGTAAATAAAGAAAAACGTATACACTGTAATTATGAAACAAAGCGACATATTTGTAGTGTGAGTGTAAGTGTGAAATTACTGTGGATAAAAAAATTATACTCTGAACCCCATGTGGATTTACACAATTTGAGAAAGTCAAAAAGTGTTACTTTGTGCCCCGCTCTCCCCTACATTACACCTTTTCCCTGTGTGTTAACGTCAGTAATTATGACTGTCGAATGTCTAACTTGACTCATGGTAATGTATTTTGCCCCCCCGCCCCCAAATTATGATTTGACTATCAGTCGAATATCGGCAAGATTCGAAAAGTCAGATTCGACTATGAAAATACTTAGTCGGGGACACCCCTAATAGATAGATAGATAGATAGATAGATAGACATGAAATTAATCTCAGTTGATATCATTTAATTATGTAAGCTGAAAGAGCATGTAGTGATACGACTTAGGACTGGTGCAGTGTAGTTTAGTGATAATTATACAAATAAATAATTATTTGACTGCCAGTCAAAATGTATTTGGCTGAATGAAATGTTGGGATTCAATTTTGAAATGTTTTGCTCAATGCCACACAGTTTTCACAGGACATTAGAAAATGTTGGAATATTTTCTAGTCTGTTATCACGATTAACCTTATTATTTCAGTATGACAGGATGTCCCATATGTTTCCATGCATGACAGGATGGATTACCTAACAAGCCTCTTTCTCTCTCTTCCAAATACTCGGGTCTTTGCCAACAGCCTTTTCATAAAAACAGGAATTGTGTCGAATTTTTAAAAGGTTAGAAATGGGTCATTGTTTTGTTGGATTGGTCCTCAGATGTTACGTCCAAGTTTTAAGAACCCCCTGGCAGGTTACTTAATAGTAGCGTTACTAGCGTATGTATTCACAGACACATTACCAGTTACAGTGCGTTTCAAGTCAAGCAGTCAGTGGTGGCTTTGTTGATGTTCTGGGAGCAGTATTTTCTGTTATGCTCAGGTGAGAGAATGGCTTCTATTTCTGTTCTTCCTGTATATGAGTTTTCAGTTGCTCAATTTTCCTCTGGTTTGTGTGTTCGTTTGTATTGTGTGGCTTGTTTTCGTTATGGTGAAGCTCACAATGGGTTACACGAAAATAACAGCGCCTTTAGTAGCGAGGACGTGGTCTGTCTAACAGTAATGAGGTAGAGACACTTTCTAAAATAACTCTTTCAAACTGCTTTTCATTGACTAGCTTCTTTACTTTCATTTGTACTAACCAGACATTTCTACTGGACTACTGAACCGTTGTATTGGTATTTACAATGTATTAATTTAGCAAACACTTTTGCAACCTTAATAGTATGTTATACTCATGACCTTGCGGTTTCTAGCATTGTTCATAAAATCTAAATATTTCTTTCAATTATGATGTCTTATCCTGTAGACTTACATTATAAATAATCTTTACCAGTCTAGTTTTTGTTTCATTTTGTCATGCTTTTCTTATAAATCAAGACATTTCAGAAATGGTGTAATCTGTCCAAACAGATGGATTTTTATGGATTTTTTTTTGTTGTTTTGATTTTTTAATATATTTATATCAGCATTGACTCATCTAAACACTCGAAAAACGTGATTGTATTACTAATCTCACAAACCCACAAACACACACATAGATAGATAGATAGATAGATAGATAGACATGAAATTAATCTCAGTTGATATCATTTAATTATGTAAGCTGAAAGAGCATGTAGTGATACGACTTAGGACTGGTGCAGTGTAGTTTAGTGATAATTATACAAATAAATAATTATTTGACTGCCAGTCAAAATGTATTTGGCTGAATGAAATGTTGGGATTCAATTTTGAAATGTTTTGCTCAATGCCACACAGTTTTCACAGGACATTAGAAAATGTTGGAATATTTTCTAGTCTGTTATCACGATTAACCTTATTATTTCAGTATGACAGGATGTCCCATATGTTTCCATGCATGACAGGATGGATTACCTAACAAGCCTCTTTCTCTCTCTTCCAAATACTCGGGTCTTTGCCAACAGCCTTTTCATAAAAACAGGAATTGTGTCGAATTTTTAAAAGGTTAGAAATGGGTCATTGTTTTGTTGGATTGGTCCTCAGATGTTACGTCCAAGTTTTAAGAACCCCCTGGCAGGTTACTTAATAGTAGCGTTACTAGCGTATGTATTCACAGACACATTACCAGTTACAGTGCGTTTCAAGTCAAGCAGTCAGTGGTGGCTTTGTTGATGTTCTGGGAGCAGTATTTTCTGTTATGCTCAGGTGAGAGAATGGCTTCTATTTCTGTTCTTCCTGTATATGAGTTTTCAGTTGCTCAATTTTCCTCTGGTTTGTGTGTTCGTTTGTATTGTGTGGCTTGTTTTCGTTATGGTGAAGCTCACAATGGGTTACACGAAAATAACAGCGCCTTTAGTAGCGAGGACGTGGTCTGTCTAACAGTAATGAGGTAGAGACACTTTCTAAAATAACTCTTTCAAACTGCTTTTCATTGACTAGCTTCTTTACTTTCATTTGTACTAACCAGACATTTCTACTGGACTACTGAACCGTTGTATTGGTATTTACAATGTATTAATTTAGCAAACACTTTTGCAACCTTAATAGTATGTTATACTCATGACCTTGCGGTTTCTAGCATTGTTCATAAAATCTAAATATTTCTTTCAATTATGATGTCTTATCCTGTAGACTTACATTATAAATAATCTTTACCAGTCTAGTTTTTGTTTCATTTTGTCATGCTTTTCTTATAAATCAAGACATTTCAGAAATGGTGTAATCTGTCCAAACAGATGGATTTTTATGGATTTTTTTTTGTTGTTTTGATTTTTTAATATATTTATATCAGCATTGACTCATTCAGATTAAGTACAGATGGTCATTCTGTGATTCTGTTCAATTTTCTTTCTAATTGGCTCCTCCTGTCGTTCTGTGTCTCTCTTTCTTGGAAAAACATATGCAAATATTTCTGTGCTTAATTTTTAACTTTATTGAATTCTCGTCATGCTTTCTTCTCATTTAAAATGTGTTTTAAAAGAACAGTGTTAGAGTCCAGCCAGTTGTCGACCGAGAACGCTGCAATAAAATCATTGGCAGATGTTTCTAGGGCTCCCTATGAATCTTGGATCTCTTTGTCAGAGTTTTTCCAATGCTTGGCAAAATAAATAAAGTTTTATTAGCTGGTTAAAATTACATAATTTTCCTGTCTTGCCTCTCTTCCTCTGTTTTGTCTACAGGGCATATCTCCCACCGGACAGGGTCGACCCGAGTCCCCCGTTTACACCAACCTCCAGGAGCTAAAGATCTCTCAGTCGTCTCTCCCACCTGTTCCCTCTTCCTCCCCTCTGCATATCCTGGGCGACTGGGAAACACACAAGGATACGAGTGGAAGAAACTTCTACTACAACCGTATGACTCAGGAGAGGACGTGGAAACCGCCCCGCTCTCGAGACAACGGGGTCACTCGTGGGGACACGTCCAACACTGGAGACATGGAGGTAACACAACTGGAAAAATGACCATTGAAAAGTCCATGTTGGTCAGCTATGTAAATAATATATCTCATTTCATCTGTAAACATACCATCTTTGCATTGATGTAATAATGCTAATGTGAGTGTGACTCTGTGCCCACATGCTTGTGCATGTGAAAGTTTGAACTAGGCCAGAGTTGAAGTAGGTCTTCAGTCTATATTTAAGCCTTTGAAAAATGCTGTTCAGATATTTAAGCTTCAACAGACGGCTGACCCAGCTTCACTCAGAACAGAGTGGAGCAACTCACTCTCTGCGGAAATCACTATTATTACGGATTATTTTTTACCAAAAATGTGTTAAGTTATTCTGGTTACTGTAAACGCTGACATGTATGTCTGTATTTACAAGAGTACAATGTTTGACCTGTTTTCCAAACTAATTTAGTCTTATCTGAAGTTTCAATCTGTTTCATTCTTTCCATTGTTCATAGCTGCCATCTAGTGGAATCCATTGTTCATAGCTGCCATCTAGTGGAAAAATTTGGGCATAATAAAAGGGGGACATGCTTTTTTTGTTTTGTTTATCAGTTAAAATGCTATCCGTTACAGATGCTCTAACTTAGAACAAAATCAGTATTAAAAATGTTTTATTTGTTTTTAAATAATAATGTATATATATATATATGTGTGTGTGTGTGTGTGTGTGTATGTATATGTGGATTATTAATATATAATAGTAATTCAGATGTAATAATATAATATAATATTTAATAATATATAAAAAATATTATTGCAACTTTTATCATTTTTGTACAACTACAACTATTATCTTTGTTTATTTAAAAATAAAATAATAACAACAATAATAATAATAAAATGTGTATTCATGTTTATTTTTTTTATTATAATATATTGCTTTTTACCAATAATAATAATAGTAATAATTATAGTAATAATGGTGATATTTTTAAATAATATAAAAAAACATTATTAAATTAAATTTTAAATATAATAATTATAATAAAAATAAATTGTGCATTAAAATTGATTATTTTTAAATAGTATATTTTTATTGTTTATTACTGATAATTATATTAATAATACATTTGTTTTGTATAAAACACATTTATTTTTAATAGTAGTAGTAGTAGTAGTAGTAATAATAATAATAATACAATATATAATAATAATTATAACAATTTTAAATATAATATTTTTAAATAAATAACATTTGCATTCACATTTTGTTGTTTTTTTATCCAAAGCAGTTTACTTTAGTGTTGTTGTTGCCATGCCATACAGCTGAAGTTGCAGTTTTTCTCTTATCTTTCTGCCATTTTTACTCATTTTCTTGTCTTACTGTTTTCTTCAGCATTTGTTTTCTGAGGAGAATTGCCCCAGCACACACTCCAGTCAGTCAGACAGTCAGTACGGATCGCCCCCTAGAGGCTGGTCTGAGGAACTGGATGAACATGGCCACACACTCTATGTATCTGAATACACCAATGAGAAGGTGCTGGAAGGGAGCTGCTTACATACAGAAATCTCTTTTTGTTTTGAATGAGACACAGAGTAACAAATCGTTTTTGTTTGTTTGTTTGTTTGTTTGGCAGTGGATTAAGCATGTGGACGAACAAGGGCGGCCGTATTACTACAGCGCTGACGGATCCCGCTCAGAATGGGAGTTACCAAAAGTAAGTTAAAGTTTTTTCCTCAGAAATTCCAAAACAGCCTTTCTTCTGTCTTTAGGTCATGTGTGATCATTAACTGCTTTAGCTTTAGTGTTAACCAGGGCAGTAGGAGGATTCCTGGGAAAATCTAAAAGTAACCCTGATTCCCTAATCTAGTTAGTTGCCCCAGTCGCTGCTGGACACTGTTTATCTGACCACACGCTTCTCTTTTATTACACATCCTCTCACTCTCATTCCATCTAACACACACACACACACACACATGTTGTGCTCTGGGGGGCTGAGCGGGTTGGGTGGGCTTATGTTCAGAGGAGGGGATCTGACCGCACATGGTGCTGTGGACGGTGAGGAGAGAGGTACCTTTGTTTACTATTTTGTGTCTTTATCGCTGCCAATACTTGTTTTGTATATCAACTAATTGGATCTTTTTAACCAATCTATTTTCTATCTTAAAACATTTTCCTGTAGAATTATGTATACATGATCTTCTGAATGTTATTTTTGTGGTGACTCTGCTAGTGCCCATTATATTTTGTGTTTCTCGCATCATAATTGGACTAATCTGTCACTTTCTCCCTCTCTTTTTCTTCCTGTTTGTTCCCAGTATAATCTCTCTCCTCCAATCTCTGGAGAAGCTCCTAAGAGTCACAGTTTGGAAAGGAAACAGCAGGAGCCCATTGTGCTGACCAAGTGGAGACACAGCACCTATGTGCTGGACATCAGTGACAAGGTATGCGTCTATGTTGTTAAACACAAACAAATCACAGCACAACTAGAGCACAAAATAATCTTCACAATACAGTTTTTTGTGGAATATATATGAATACATACAATACCATTCAAAAGTTTGGGGTCGGCACATGTTTTTGGAAGAAGTCTCCTGTTCACCAAGGCTTGATTTAGTTGATCAAAATATAGTAAAAACAGTAATATTGCGAATATTATTACAATTTAAAATACTGTTTTCTATTTTATCTGTTGTATGTTTTTTTATGTTTTATGTTATGTTTATGTTATAATTCAAATTGAGTGACCCTAATTGGATTCAATACAGTTCACCAAAAATCACACTATTAAAAAAAATCTGGTAAAAACAGTTAACCTTTAACAAAAAATAAACATAAGAACATATTTAAAAATATATATGAATATTATAAATAGTATTGTAACTATTTTTAATTTTAAATGTTAATTTTATTTATTTATTTATTTTAATTTTGGATGCTAGCAATGCCAAAATCATGGGTTTCATTTCCTGCAAAATGATCATGCTTGAACTGATAAAAATGTACACCTTCAACACAATGTATATTTCCTCAAAATGCAAAAATGTAAATCTAAATACCCTCAGAGGATAATTGAGAACCTGACATACCAAAATACAACAATTTTTTATTTATTTTTATCCTATTGTTTATCCTGTTAACCAGCATGTAGCCTAAAAGCCAATTAAAAGGCTGTCAAAGTCATTTTTTCCTTCACTCAGATGCCAGTGAAGATTAACACAGACCAAATATATTTCCTCTAGGAGAGCACAAGGCTTTTAACAGTCCTTAATCTTGTGCATTTTCCATGCGTGTGTGTGTGTGAGTGCATATGGTTTGTATTTTATCTTGTTAGTCATTTATGCTGGTCCTGTAAAGATGCTAAATGAAACAAGCCTGACATTTTGTTGCTCTTGTGTCGCACAATGGTTTTCATTCCAGCTGCCATTCAAAAGCAGATGGTTCAGCGTGAACCGCCTCCCCAGGGGCTTCGGCCTGTCACTGTACAGAGAAGTTAGTCGCCTCATTATGCTGTAACCAATCAGATGTGATTACAGACTTCTTGATTTCTTCACTTCACAAATTGAAATAGTTTTCAAGCAAATCAAGGAAACAAATTTGCGTTGATCAAAACCTGCTCAGATCTGCACTTTATCATTTACATGTGATGTATCTGGTTGTGATGCTTATTTGTATGCTTGCTTTATACTAACTCCTCATTAACTCAACTGACATCTTTTTTTTATTCTTGTCCATGTTCTTACAAATCATTCATGGCAAGACTTGAGATAACAGTGATTTTGACCATTATCTGTCATGCAAACACTGATAAATCAGCCTTTTTCTCTTTGGAGATTCGTAACTGCCTTCAGTATGGGTCTAACTTTTTGTATTCATCCTCTAACTCCCTCTGTTCTGAATGTTTAACACCGCACTTTTTCTGCTTTATGACTTGCAGGAGTCTGTAAATGCCAAACACAGCTCTCCTGAATCAGACTCCTGCCCCTCTTCACCCAAACACCCCTCCACCGTTAGTATACACACTAACCCATGTGATTTTATGCATGCTCTTTTCAATGTATTAACATTTAGTTATCTTCTAAATGCATGTTATCGTCAGAATGTGCAATACAAATTTCCAAATTTAAATACTACTGCTACTGCAAATAATAATAATACATACTACTATAATCATTATATTAATATATATTAATATACAATATTATTATTTTATTTACTTAATTATTTAATCTTTTTCCTTTTTTGTAATATATATATATTTTCCTTTTAATGTTTACTTACTAAGCTAATTTTTCTCCTCTCTGTAGCCCTCAGAAAAGTGTGGTGTTCTCAATGTCACCAAGATTACTGAACATGGCAAGAAAGTCAGGTAAAAACTGCATAACTGAATATTGCAATTGGGTGTGGGGAAATAGATAAACTAATCGCATTTTAATAAAATTATCATATTTATGCAATATGTATTCTTAAAAGAAATGTTGTGGCCTTTGTTTATACTTCAAAGAATGAATGTTTTGTGCTGCAGTGAAAAATGTAAGCACTGGTCATTAAAAAAAACTGGTCTAGTTTCTCATTTGATCTTTAGAATAAGTGTCACAGATGCATCTATTGTTTGTATTGTCCTGCAGGAAGAATTGGGCCTCCACCTGGACTGTCCTGCAGGGATCCACTTTACTTTTTGCAAAGGGTCAGGGCAGCGGCACCAGCTGGGTATGTATTCAAACTGCGTTACATTGGTCTGTTCATCTGGGACAAATGTGGAATTATTCTCTTAACCCTGTTAGTCAGCATTATTTCAATTTACATGCTTTGAATACTGACAGGATTCCCCACAGTCTACCTCAAATTTGCCTGCATTTATTCAGGAGTGTATCATGCAAACTGCATCCACATTCAGTGCTCGGCAACAAGTATAAACAAAAAGAGGCCTACATGCTTTTATCTAAAAACTGTAGCATTCAGATTACTATTAATATTAGCTCTCTTGCCGATTTGTACCTCTCTCCTTCATTTATATCTCCCATGTGTGTTGTGAGTGTGATTTCATGCATCATCACTCTCTTTTCTGTTCTGTTCCTTTCTTCCATCTCTTCTCTGTCTCTTCAAAGTCGTACTGCCGCAATGGTTCCTTTCCTGAACTCCTCCTTTCATTGCTAAGTAACTGGAAGCGTTCGATTAAGCCCCGGCCTGCAGTGTCCTATACGCACTGTAGATGCAACCGGGCTCCCTCTGTATGTGTCAGCCTCTCTGGACAGAATGAATGTGCCCTTGATGCTGATCCACGAACAGTTTTGCCTAGATTACAGATTGTTCATTTGAAAAACTTCATTAGTTGGTTTTAAATAGGCTAAAATGTTAAAAATGAATGGTATTTATTATAAGTTCATTATTGAAATAATTATAAATTAATAATTGGTTGTGTGATGCAGATCTGTTTTGAGATCAGCTGAGCAGGGCAGCTTGTCTCCCATTTTATTTGTGCACGTCCTACTTTCTGCCTGTGCGCCACACTTATCGCCCCCTGCTGTGTGCTTGAAGTTAGTTCCTCCAGCAAGAGAGACTGAATTTAAAACTTTTACGATGTCAAATAACCAGACTTAGTAAATTAAAATGGATGCACTAAGAACCTTAAAATTGTTGGCATGCATTTCTGCATATTCAGACTCATTTAGTTTATGCTATTTGAATGTGTAAGCATCTGTATACAAAATGGAGCTTAGCATTGCGCAAAGCAAAATGTGGGAATGCTCTTTGCAAACCTAGGCCGTAAATTATAAAACAGTCAAGTGTGTGCATTGTGCATTTAATATTCCAGTCTAACCTATTATTGTACTTTTGGCACCCAGAACTAATTGACACTTAAAATACAGTGTAACTCGCTTTTGACCCAGGAACATCACTATAGCTTGTGTTTAACAGCACTGGACTAAAGAGAATCCTAAATAACTCTTGATGATTTGCTTAGAGGGTGACAGGATTTAAAACAAGTTTATACACCTTGTTTTTCAAGTTTGGAGGCAACCAGTCCAAACCCGAATTTACAGTGGACCTGCGAGGTGGTTCGGTTGAGTGGGCATCCAAAGAAAAGTCCAGCAAGAAACATGTCATTGAGGTGAGAGTCAGCTGATTTTACTTTTGAATTTCTTAAAATACTCATTGTTAGAAATACTTAAAGGGATAGTTCACCCAAAAATAAAAATTCTATCATCATTTACTCACACTCAAATATGAGTTTCTTTCTTTTGCTGAACACAAAAGATGGTATTTTGAAGAATGTTGGAAACAAAACAGTTGATGGTAGCCATTGACTTCTACAGTATTTTATCCATACTATGGAAGTCAATGGCTACTAAAAATCTTCTTTTGTGCTCAACAGAAGAACGAAAGTCATACAGGTTTGGAACACCTTGAGGGTTAGTAAATTATGACAGAATTATCATTTTTTCTGTGAAAGAGCCCTTTGTTTTAACATTTTTGCATACAGAGCAATTTCCTGGTAAATTAGTAGAAGATAATAAAGCAATAATCCATGAGAGACTGTTAGTTACAGTGATTTTTTTCTAGACACAATTTGAATCACAGTGTCTAGAACTCTCTTAACTGTAGCAAAATGACTATATCACAAAGCCATTACTGGCCTATTACTTTGATAAAACATGCTTTTTATGTAATGGCAACAGTATTACAATAAAAGACAATTGTGTTTAGCAAATAGCTCATTTATTAGTTATTTAATCATTTTTATTAGTTATTAGAAATTACACAAAGTTCTGTAATACAATTAATTACTATAATTGCAGTATGTTTACGATTTCCAAGCAACATAGCAACTATCCATTTACAATATAAGTTTTCCTGTATTACCTACAAATATTCTTACTGTAACTGAATCTCTCCTGACTAATATGCTCCCACTGACCTGATCTGAACTTTGACTCCGGCAGCTGAAGACACGAGTGGGCACAGAGCTGCTGATCCAGTCTGAGATTGACAGTGTTATCAATGACTGGTTCAGAGCGCTTTCTGAGACCATCAACACACATGTGAGTGAAATCAACACACCCCACAGTACAAAATTATGGCATAAACAGCATACACAGATGTTCAAAGGTACATTGGTGTTATTAATGGTAATAATGATAATGCATGTGTTGTAGGCGTGGGAGTCTGATGAGGCCATTGAAGAGGACATGCCTGAGTCTCCAGGAACTGAGAAACACGACAAAGAGAAAGACCCACGAGACTCAAAGAAAAACAGAGGTACAGAAGACATACATTTGTAAAATAAATCATAGCTACACAAGGTTTGTTGAGTGGTGCCACACACGTGTGTTTGTACAGTAGTAAAGAACTCCAGTTTGGATTCGTCTGAGCAGAAGAAGACCAGAGTCAAACTGAAGAAGTTCCTCACACGGAGACCAACATTACAGGCTGTCCGGGACAAGGGCTACATAAAAGGTAAAATACACTGATATAAGCACATACAGCTTAATTATATTTATGGGCTTTTGTGAATGATCTACATACAGAGGAAAGAGAAGACACCTCTGGTAACCCTTCTGTCTGTTCTCAGATCAGGTGTTTGGCTGTAGTTTGACTGCCCTGTGTCAGAGAGAAGGCACTTCCGTGCCTAATTTTGTCAAGATGTGCATTGAGCATGTGGAGAATACAGGTATTTATCTGTTTGTTTCATCAGTTGGATTACTAATACATTTTTGAGTTGTCATTCTAGGTCTACATTCACTTCCTGTCTCATTTCTCTGTATCTGTTTCTCAGGCTTGATTGTTGATGGCTTGTATAGAGTCAGTGGAAACCTGGCTGTCATACAGAAACTGCGCTTTGCGGTCAATCACGGTAGGGAAGAGCTGTTTTGTTCTGAATATAGTTTTTTAAAAACGATACAATCTCGCAAACCATTCTCACGCGCCAGTCTTGTTACTGTTAAAATAAAGCTGAAATAAAATTAAATATTAGATGGAACAACTTAAACTTGAAAAGCTTAAAGTGCTAAAAATGACTAAAACAAAAACTGAAATAAAATAATTTTAAACTATATAGAAGTATATATCTAAAACAGCTAATTAAAATGACAATAGCACATCAAATCACTTAAACATATACTAAAATGAAAATGAAAATATAAAACAAAAGCTAATTCAAAATATTAATTCATTTTATGATAGTATATACTGTAAATTATATTGAAATGACACTGTCACGCACATCTCCTACCCTGAAAGGTAACAACAAAGGTCAAACAATCAGATTGGTTGGTTATCAGTCTGATGTTGTGGCTCAGCAGCTTTGGTTTGAATCGGTATGAAGGATGTGTTTATATGTCTGCAGATGAAAAGGTGAATCTGGAAGACAATAAATGGGAGGATATCCACGTGACTACAGGTGCTCTGAAGATGTTTAGCAGGAGAGAGTCTGGAGGGAGGGTGTGCACCACATCCTACTGATGCATTGCCACTGGCACTGGGTGTGACGCACAAGCCACAGAGAGAGAAAGAGAGTCTTGAGAAATATTGAGAGCAGAAGACAGTGAGACAGAGAGACAACATGAAGGGCTGTATGGAAGACAGTGTGAGCGTGAGGTGCTGTAGTTAATCCAGGCATGGCGGCCTGTGATTGCGATGCAGTAGGAATGTAATTCAATTAGTTAACAGCCTGTGTAAACAGTTCTTGACTGTGACATCAACCTTGGGAGCTTCACAGGAAACGGCAGATGTGGAGAACGCAACTGTTATGCTGCTGATGCTCCAGGCTCTTTTAGTAGATGTTGTTTAGTGTTGACTGTCAGTATGAAGCGATGTCCTCTTTCTGGCAAAGACCCATCCATTTAGGCATCACAACATTGTAATGTACATTATGAAAAATGGATAATCAATTTGAGATTTGCTATAGATTACATTTAACAGTAATTATTAATGTTTTTAAAGAGTAACTTTAAGTGAGTTTTAGATGATGGCAAATATAATCTAAATTTTAAAATGGAAGATATGAGGATGCATAATTAAATATCCAATACTGGCTGGTATATCCGTCAATCAATTGATCAGATATTATAAAACAACTATTATTTATGTCTACAAAAATAACGGAAAAAAACTTGTTTACGTAATTGCATTACTGTTCAAAAGTTTGGAGAGTTTTTTTTTTTTTTTTGAAAGAAGCCTCTTATGCTCACCAAGGATGCTTTTACAGTAAAAACAGTAATATTGTGAAATATTATTACAAATGAAAATCGCTGTTTTCTATATATAATTTAATATATTTTAAAATGTAATTTATTATTGTAATGCAGGTTTAGCAGATATTACTCCAGCCTTCAGTGTCACATGATCTTTCAGAAATCATTTTAATATGCTGATTTAGTGGTCAAGAAACATTTTTTTTTTGTTTGATGAATAGAAAGTTTAAAATAAAATAAAAAATTGATTGAAATAGAAATCTATATTATAAATCTATTTACTGTCACTATTTATCAATCTAATATGTCCTTCCTGAATTAGAGCATTAATTTCTTTCAAAATACATTTTTGAACATTAGTGTATATAAGCTTTCATCTTTTACTAGGGTCTTTTTAGGCATCAGGCTGTTTTGATTCAAGAGGCAATGCCTGGTAAAACGACTACTGTGTGATTTACCTGAAAGGAGATAGAAGAGTCCCTACTAAAACTACTTTTTTTTTTCTTGTAGATTTAGGTTTATGAAGCAACTTTTTATAACCATAAATTGTTAACTGTACCTCTGTTATCACATCCATTCCAACCCATAAAATAATCATGAGCTATAAAGCTGCTTCCTCAGTGGCAGGTGAGAGTCACATGAATCTTTAATCACTCTGGGCTTTCTTTAGGGAGTTGTCTTGTTCAGTCTAGTGAGGTCGGATCATTTCAACAGTATTTCACCTTAATTTTGCTCTCAAGCTCATGAAGGACAGTGGTCAAAGTGTCCATTGCTTCCTCTCTTAGAGATTTGCTATAATCTTTTGTAAATCTGAAATGACACTATATTTTGACATGTCTGTGCATGCACATCATTTTAAGACAAATTCAAATGTGTTTTTAGGGACATCACCTTCACACCTACAGCATTCTTACTTCTGGTTTCTTTAAATCAAGTTAAAATGAAGTGGCAAATAAACAATGAAAACTCTATTTTCACTCTACATATAGAGTGAATCATTTTGCCCATGTTGTTGTACGAGACTGTGCCTTACTGTGTAATTCTGAATGTAATTCCAGACCGGCATTGAGTCTCAATCGTAATTGCTATATCAAACACGCACAATGACATTTGCCTTTCCTTCCATTTGCATTTAAATGGCTCTTGGTCCACTGTAACTCAAAATGGAGGACAGAGGCATAGCGTTCTAGAAAAATTATGGTCTGACATTTTGCTGTAGCGGGGAAAAGGCATCTGTATTTGTGTAATTTAAGCACAATACCCAAACATTTTTCCTAATTCAAAATCACCAGCGTTGGGAAGATTTGGCATTTTAATGTGGAGATAGATTGGTTTGCATGTGGTTAAGAAAAGAAATGCATTTATCTGCCACAAATTAACCTTTCACTATTTCTTTGTCAGACAAACTGAAGCTCTTTATTCACAAAATATGAGCTCTGCTGTTGATTGATGGTTATTTTTTTTAACCAATTTACAGGAAAAAATAGACAAGACACTTATTCTCTCTTTCTTTTTCAGAGTGATTGATCATGGCGAGGTGAACAGGATGACTACCCAGAGCGTGGCTATCGTGTTCGGCCCAACCCTGCTGCGGCCAGAGATCGAGACGGGCAATATGGCGGTCCATATGGTCTATCAGAACCAGATTGTAGAACTCATTCTTCTAGAGTATGACAACATTTTTGGCAGGTAGAACATCTCTAAGTAAGAATCAATCTAGAGAACACAATGCCAGTTTAACATCTCATATCCATCGCACAAAAACGCACCACTGCTGTGGACCAAGCTTAATGGAGTATATAAACAAACGTGAGTGGATTTACTGTGACATATGACTGGATATAAGCAAAGAAAATGAATACAGGAAGATTCTTTCTGCACTTAATATTTTTTTGAAGTTTTGAGGATATACACATTTTTCTTTCTTTTTTTTCCCATTTGGATTGTCATTCCTTGGCTTAGAATAAGCTGGATTGACTTTTGGACAATTATGGATGGTTATTAGTCTCCATTATGCACTCTTTTTTTTTTTGAGAAATGGGAATATTTTCCTAAGTTGGACACTGGAATGGACTTTATCTTAGCCAGTACTGAAGACTAGAATGAAAACTGACTGAGCGGACACTTTCAAGTCTCACCAGATTGAGTGTGATTGATTTATTCAGACACATAACTGACTTGTATCTGGGCTCTCGTGGGGCTCAAGAGTTTTTGTTTTCTTCATTTTTTCCTGTGGAATAAGCTGAAAGTGCACTGTATTAGGAGACAGTATTATTTGACAATGACTACTGACCTACGGATAATGGGGTCGATTTAATTGGACAATGATTAATAATCAGTATTAGGACAGAAATCCTGTTTCAAATTGGAAAAACTCTTGTTTTTTCCATATCCACCCATGTTTGCCCTCCATCCACACCTCCCTAAAGTTTACTGGAAAAGTTGTGCGCCTCATGCTACTGGATAACAGACATGCTCGTCACACAGTTGTGTCATCCAATAGAAAAACTCCCTTTTAATGAAAAGACCCTCCCTTCAATGAAATATCAGGACTTTCACGTGTTTGAGGTCAAACCTGTGTTGTTTCCTTGGAATAAATGGACTGTGTTGTGCTGAATTGTGTAACAGTATGCAGAGAACCAGATGTGAACCCAGTGTGTTGTGTTTAAAAGCAAGAGCTCTCAAAAACTGTCAGAGAGCTCATCTCTCGCCCTTGTTTCTCTCTAGGCTTACTGGAAAAAGAAAGGTGAGCTGCTTAGATCGGCATTTAGGCCTTACACGGTTTCAGATCAATACAGAATATTCATCTCCTGTTTCCTGCTCTGGCCCTGGATGGAAAGGAGCTTGATAACAAATTGACAGGATGGTACTGGAAATAGTGCTGCAGTTAGTGTTAACTGAAGGTATGCATGGTAAACGCCTTCTCTGTCTCGTTTTTAACAAAATTCTGAAAACATATGTACAGAATACTTCAACAAGAACTTGAACCTGTTGTACAAAAAAAAAAAAAACAATAATGAAGTGTGATGGCTTGAAGTTGTGTGTCAGTAACAAGTGAAAAGATCTAATTTTGTTGATGTACGGATGAAGGAAATGCGTATTGATGGAACGGGGGAGAGGTGATGTCATCACGCATTGTGAACTGCACATTTTGAATGTAATTTTCAGACTAACTGCTGTTTCTGAAATTGACGTCTAATCCTATTTAAAAAGACAAAAACTCATGGATAATATTAAAGTGATAATGCTCGAGTTATTAGTCTAGTGTTTATTTTCATTGTTCATATTACAGGAGCTGATAATATGGAATGACGCTGGGAACTATCAACCGTTTCCTTCCTTTTATTACAGTGATTTAAAATAAAAATAAAAATAAATCCTGTTTATTTGAGCAGAGCAGATTGTACAGCACTTTTCTGTATTTTTAAACATTTATTCAGGAGCTTTATTAAAACGCTGTAGTAATTAGTTTAATTCAAAACACCCTTTACCAAAATATTAATTTCCTTAAAGCTTAAATTTATGGTGTTAGGTTAGCTTTATATAACTCGCTCTGTTTTTCTAGACAGGAATCTATGAAAAAGTGACATGGAAAATGACAGAATAGTGACTGGGTGGAGATCAAATCAAACACCTGCTTGAAACCATGAGCTGTACAGGCTAAAAAGAGCAAGACTTTCCAAATGAGAAAACAATTAGCTCATATCCATAATTCATAGCTCTGACCACACTCTGCAGCAGCCGGGACCCCAGAGGTGTCTGAATTGCACACCATATGCTGCTGCGTGTCTGTGGGGCAGAGGTACCAGGAAAGCCCCTGGTCTTGTGTGTCCGTGGAGGCCTAAGTGTGGTGAGGAAATTTGAGCAAGCCATTATGACCCATGAAACATTCATGACTTTGACTCTTCTCTTTTCCTCTATATGTCTTTCATTTTCTGTTGCATCTTGCTTGGTATGAGTGACAGACTCTGACCAAGAACATGTTTGTGTGCCTAAAACGTATATGACTGAAGACTTTCATAAACGATAATTGAGTTTGCTTCTTCAGGGATCCATTTTCATATCTGGGTTTTGGAGCCCCAACTAAACTGAGTAATCGTGTTCATTAAAAAAAAAAAAACACACACACACACACACACACACATTTGCTGCTCTGTGCAACCGCTCCGATATGAATAAAAAAGTGCTGTAAGTTCAACTCTGCTGAATGAGTCTGTCAGATCAAGAGGAAAAGAAGAAATAAGCCAAATCTCGCGACTTTGACAGCAACACAACTTCATTTGCATGTATGAGGAGGGCAGATTAAATCATTTTATTTGACAGGGTAACTACTTTTATAGGGCTACATATAAATGTCAACTGTTTTTGTGGGCTGTATATCTGTATGCATGCAGTCTGAATGACATTTATAGGAA